TGAACCCTTAATATTATCCTGTCAAGGAGTTTGAACTATGTAGTAGGCAAAGGGGGCAGATGAGAGTTTGGTTTGAGGCAGGGCATAATATGATGAGATTGTATTTGAAGAAAATAATTATGATGGAAAAAGTAGAGGTAGAGGGAGACCATTTAGAAGGCAATTTTTCCTACTAGGTAATAGTGTAAGAAGGAGTGACAGACTGAACAGGAGAAAGACAAGAAGCACAGAAAAGCCACTGGGGCCCAGTTAGGGGCAGAATCAATATGACTTAAGAAAAATAAAGGAAGAAAAAGAAATAATGATAACCTCAAGTTTTCTGTTTTGAGTAATTCAAAGGCTAACATTCCTTTAACTGAGACAGGAGACACAAAAACAAGAAATATTTATTCAGAGGTAGTAAGATGATAAATTTGGCTTGGGTCATGTTGAGATTGAGATGGCAAGAAGACTTATTTGGAGGAGATTCTGTTACTCTGTTGCTAATAAAAGTTTGATGCTTAGCCAAAGAGATCAAGTCTACAGGTGTAGATTTGGAAATCAGTTTAGCTGAGGTGGTTGAGCTAATGAGTGAAATCAAGAAGTGCTAGGCAAATAGAAGGGAAGAAAGGACAAAACTTGTGAAATTTCTACAATTAACAAGTTGACAGGAAAGTGGAGCAAATGAAGAAAATCAAAATAACCAGGAATCAATGAATAAGAGAAGATCTCTGGAAAACACTTCTTTACAGGTATAAGAGACTGGTTTTCATCCTAGTGTTTCAAATAATTTTAGTTAACTTGCCTGACCATCAACTTTTCTCATCTGAAATACATAAACCACAAACATGAGTTTTAAAAATTAGTGAACATGAAAGTGCTTTGGTAAACCATCAGACGCTTTGCAAGTCTTACGTCTTATGATTATTGTCACACAAGAAAATGGAGAGTCCCAAAAAGGGAAAGAGTGTAGTGTCAGATGCTACAGAGTTTCAGAAGAATATTTATTTCTAGCCCAAATTGTTTGGCTTATAATTTAAGGAAATTACGTCAAAGAATGAAATCTGTTCTCTAATCACTTAGAACAGTATTTACCAAAGTAATGGGCATGGGACCTTGGTAGCACAGGAGACAATTTTAGATTTGACACAGACATGAAATAGAACTGAATCACACTGTGAGAAAGTCTCCTTTTGGTTTCTCTTTTAATCACTCCTTTTGTTTCTCTTTTAATTTTTGTTTTATTCCATAATTCTGATTTTTATTAAAGGGATAAAGTCTCAGGGCAAAGAAGTCTTTAACATTTAACACTAGCTAATCACCCTTTTCAATAAATTTCTTCAGGTTGTCAATAATATCTAGCTAGAATTTATATCATATGAACTTCAAGGTTACTAGCTACAATACCTTCTTATTTTGCAGTTGATACCAGTTTTCCAATTATGGTAGTGACATAAAGTTTTCTTTTAAAATAAGATTTTTAAATAAAAAGATAATAACTTTTTAAAATATTAAGTATGTGATTGTATAGGTGGTATGTAGATATGACAAAACTAAGAAAGTGATAGTCCAATGATAAAAGTTCGAAAAACTTAGACTAGCCCTCCCTCCTTCTGTTGCTTTGAGTGGCTGCCTTGGGTTCAACCAGGCTGGAATAATGTGTGAAACGTATTTTGTGATTCGTGGGTCCTGAGATCTACACCCTAGATCTAGACCCTGTCCTTCCTCTAGGATGTTGGGTCAATTTTCAGAGCCACTAGACATTTCTAGATTTTTGTGTCCTTAGCTGTCAAATAAGAAGATTAGCTTTAAACTATCACTAACATTCCTTCCAGCAATAAATTCTACAGTTCTTTGAGTGATTAGTAAATAAGCCAGTGCTTTCAAATTGATCAAAGTTAGCTAAAATGTTTTTCCTCCATAAGCATCAATATCATGTGTCAGTGCTAGAGATTCTTCCCAGACTAATACGCACAGCTAGGAAAACATCAACAAATTTATTCTCTAATTATGATTCAGATTCTACCTCATCTGTGAAGGATTGTTGTTTAGAAGGAATTTCTGCTTTAGTTAGGGCAATTAATTAAAATTGAAAATGAAATTGTAAATGAAAATTTGTTTGCATTTCCTGAGCCTAATGCTTTATGCTAAAGCCTCACTCTCAGTCTGTAGTTTCATTGCAGTCATATCTAATCAATTTATAAAGCCCATGAATTTTGTTCCTTGGTATAGCAACTCATACATATTAAGTCCCTATACTTAAAAAGAATCTTCATCCATCTATTTACTAATATCTTTCCATCTTTTAAAATTTATTTCCCCTGAGAACAAGGAGTGCAGGTGAAGTGTTAACTGGCTGAAAGTTCTTATCAGTATTATTGTGAGTTAATGGCACTCTATATCCCAAGTACACGTTAAAATTAGAAGCATACCTTCTATTTGAAATATAACAACATGGATCATCCTTTACCAAAAGCATGGCAAAGAACCAGGCAATAAATGAAAAATGGAGACAGCATGGGTACAGAAAACACACACACAGTCCTTGGATCAGAAAAAAACTGAGTTTGTTACTACCTTTAAAAAGTTTCCATATGAACAATTTTTTCTCTATGATTACAAAGGAAGTGTTTGTCCCGTGACTTTTTTGAACTGCATCAGTGTTACCTTTTGCTGTAACTTGCTGTGACAAGGGTAAAGTTGCTTATGCAAGCAACTTAATTTTAAGATTCTGTTTTCTCACCTGAAAAAAAAAGGATAAAAATACAGTCATTGTTCTGACCCATTAGTGTTTGTATGTAAAATATCCAGCAATGTGGTAGATACCACCTGGGTACTCAACAAGTGTTAGTTCCCAACATTGCAGTAACAGTGTCTCAAAAATTAACATGCTCTTGATTTGGGGAAGATCATCTTTCACTGCCCTTCAGAGCCTCTTTCTTATCTTATTCTCTCTATATTATTAAACTCGATTTCCTGATCTCCATGCTTACAGATTACACGAGCAAATTAGAAGGTGCTAAGAACAACAAGAAAAAAAAAAAAAAAGACAAAGAAGCAGAATAAAAGAGAAATAATTTCAAAATCTTAGAAACCTGGAGCCATTTAGTACAGGGATAAATAGCTCTTCATGCCTCAACAGTCATTCAGAGCTTTTTTATATTACAGCAAGATAGAATATAGGGTATTCTAAATGATGATCTTGATTTACCAAGGGTAAGTTAAATTATACACACTTATTTTAAAAAGCATACAATGCATTTTGGAAGAATTAACAATATGAATAGAACTTTTTAAATAATTTTAACTTTTATTTTAGATTTAGGGGGTACAAGCGCAGGTTTGTAACGTGGGCATATTGATGTTGAGGTTTGGGATACGAATGACCCTGTCATCCAGGTAGTGAGCAATGTACAGATAGTTTTTCAATCTTTGTTCCTTTCCTTCCTTCCCCACTCTAGGAGTCCCCAGTGTCTGTAGTTGCCATGTTTATGTCCATGAGTACCTCCCACTTAGCTCCTCCTTATAAGTGAGAACATGCAGTATTTGGTTTTCTGTTCCTGTATAGAACAAAATTTTAAGAAACCTTTTTGTGTGTTTTGCTGGGTAAAACCTTAGCCTTTGAAAACACTAAGCCATGGAGATGAACTCAGTCTTCAGGGGTTCCACACAAGCATGGCCTTACTGAAATATCTTTTGTGCATCTTCAGCAAATAAGCCAAGGCTCCATGTATTCTATGGAAGAGGATAAGGCATTTGTAATTGCTAAGTTAAAATGGTTTTATGCAGCTATGACTTTTTCTTTGTTTCAGAAAGCAACATTTGATATAAATTACTTGTGGGCTTTAGCAGTAACAACTTTCTCAAATTATTTTCCCTAGGACTTGGTGTTACAACGGTTTATCCAGTTGGGGGACCCATGGGCTGTATCCAGCCTCTCATGGTGTTATCTGTGATTCTCTGGGAAAAACACTTGAACTGGGCCTGGTTTGCACATTGAAATAAGGAGCCCTTTCTAAGTTATTCCCATGAGAGAACAGCACAAACATGTTAGTTTAAACTCATGTATACCGTATAAATTATCCACTGTATGCAGTGGACTCAATACCGCAAATGTTGAGCTAACTGCATCTGAAAGGAGTCAAAGAGGACACTTGCAGAATCCCATAGAAAGAGAACATGTAGAATCCAGCACCATCAGAGGTCAACCAGTCAAATACCAGGGCTGGATTTTTCAAAGAACCAGATAATGCCAGTTTTATGGCCATTAATAACATTTTAGTTATGTAAACAAAGATAAGAGTAATAAAAAATAAATTCTGCTTCATAGTGTAATCTGATTGCCAGCAGAGTTCAGAAATGAACTTTCTCATTGTGCACGTGGCGTTGCATAATGGACCAGTGATCATTCCGCAGCCTCCTCAGCCTTCCCTTTCCCTTTCCCTTTTATGGAGAGTCCTTAGTTCTGCCAGATCCATAAGCTATTCCAGGGAGGCAGATTCTTTTCTTTCTCCTGTTAAGCTCTTTGATTGTGCCTCTGGTAGTTACCAAATGGTCTTCAGAGGTACTTCATACGTGCACACTGCAGCTAATCAGAGTGCCTTGGCCTACTGTTTCCCTACTTCTGTGTTTTCCACATGTTGACGGGCTCAGTTCAAACACCAGGCCTATCAACTTCTGGAGAGGCATGGCAAAGCTCGGCTCTGATTTGGTCTGCTTCAGAGATTTTCCAAAGGATATCCTGTAGTAGATAAATCATTTCATTAGGCCAGGTTCCCTGTTCAAACCAGGAAGCAGAGGGCCGGCCATGTAGGCAAACCCAGATAATGTCGTTATGGCTGTACTCAGAGCATTTGTAAATATTGTTGTCAGTGTCTTTCACGCAGGTTCCATCAAGATTGGATTTAAACATAGACAGCTTAATTATGTGTTTTAAAGCTTTGTTTATGGAGAGCTGTTAGGAAGACTGTGAAGTTTTAAATATTGAAATGACAATTTTTCCCCCCAAATGTCTCCTCCAGTTGATCACTCCTCATGCCATCCGTGTGCAGACCCCTCCTCGGCACATCCCTGGTGTTGTGGAAGTCACACTGTCCTACAAATCTAAGCAGTTCTGCAAAGGAACACCAGGGAGATTCATTTACACAGGTAAGAACCACTGCAGATGGTGAGCACAGAACTGCCTTGGTCCTATGGGGTCTTTCCCCTTGTCTTCTATGTCTAAAAGCATATATTTTATTTTACAATCTAGTTAAAGTCTGCTTTCTTTCTTCATTTTACCATATGTATGAGCAAACATGGTGCTTTTATTATTGTATTAAGATTTCATCTAGGTGTCCATGCTGAATGGCAGGATCTGTTGAAATAACTGGTTGGATGCCTAAAGATGCCCCATGAAAAATAAGAGAAGGGGAAAAGAGGTGTAGATAATCCTGAGTTTCTGGATGTTAAGCCACCTTGTTAGGGTTTGTTTGCTTTATGGAGTAGGGTTGTGCTTTCAGGAACAGTACGTCTTTCCTCTAGCCTGTTCACCGCATTTGTATTACATACAATTGGTAGTTTTCATGTTTAATTCTGGGTTGGTGCCTTCTTTCCAAGTATGCTGCATTTTTGTCCTCCCAAAACAGCCTTGGCACATGGATCTGCCTTGTGGCAAGAAGCTGGGGTTTCAGAGTGAATGTGAATTCCCTCCCATCAGACAGACAGAACCAGGCAGCATCGCTGTGGAATTACATCAAGTATAAAGGCTGAATGCCCAATGTGTACTCTAAGAGATCCCTAGATTGTGAAGTGCAAACCAGACACCCAGGGATCTTTTACAATTCACATTCTGCTGCAGTAGGTCTAGGCAGAACCTGAGATCCTGTGGTTCTTAAGAGCTCCCAGGTGAGGCTGATGCTGCTGGTCAAAGAACCACAAGTGCAGTGTGGTTCTGGGTCCTCTGCTTAGTGTCAGTTATCCTTGGATAGTGGTAACTGTCTCCATGAACTGGTCCCAGGTTTCCTTTTCCATTCAGTAAAAGACCACAAGGCCAGACTAAGTACAGAGCGGAAGTTGCTTTCACACAAAGAGATAACAGAGCAGTGACGGGATAACAGTTAACAAATCATAATTATAACAATACAATTAAATGGACGACTTTTATTTTTCTGTAACATTTTACTTCAGAGAATCTTTCCCTTGTATTTCAATATTAGGAGTAAAACCAAACGTACTTCTTAGTCACCCAGTTTCTCTCTCTCTCTCTCTCTCTCTCTCCCCCTTGAAATTATAAAAACAATTAATGCATCCTGACCCTTGGAAATGCCTCCCAGCCCTTTAAACAAAATGCAGGTTTGGTGCCTGCCTGACGATTAGTTTTAGTTAATTGAAAATTATAGGATTGACCCAAGAGGAAAATTTTGTTTGCACTCCAATCACTTTTACAAATTAAGGAAAATTACCGCAATTTTGTTTAGCTAAGGTTTCACACTGAGTTCAAGAAATTAGCTCAGCCATCCCAACAAAGTCAGCACTTTGTTAGTGAGCACTTGAAAAAATAATAGTCTATCTGGAGTTTTGTGGTGTATACAAACGAAGCATAGAGAAAGCTATGATGCTTTATAGAAGTAGGCCAAGTGTTTTTAATTAGGCTCATTGGTTCAGCATAAGTTTTGAAGAACAATCAAACTAGCAGATTAGCTGTTTCTTTTAAAGCTAGGATTTCTTGCCATTCATTTTTCCCATGAGAACTTCCACATAGCAGTGTGTGTGTGTGTGTGCACGCGCGCGTGTGTGTGTGTTTTACAAGTCTCATTATGGGGCTGCAGGAAAAGGACCAATTGAAACTCCTGATACTGTAACATTCCCCAGCATCATTCCAATGGATGGGAGTTTTTCACAATGTTCCCCACTGAACTCGGTGTTCTGGAACATATTTCAAAACCACAGAGGCCAAATGTTTTCTCTGAGAAGTTTGGACTCTGTTTTTGGCCGAAAACATTAGGCCTCTCTGGCTGCTTATTTACTCAGCTATTAAGAACAAGAAAAGGAGAAGAAAAAGAAGAAAATGCTTGTGTGGTGGGAGGTACAGGAGGCAATCAGGCATGGTTTCCGCTTTGGTGACAACGTCCCTGCCCATTAATGGTTCCATTTTGTGGTCAGGTCTCATTTAGAAGAAATTATTTTTAATCAGTCTTCAACAAAATATCCCCTAGAGCCACCTGGCCATAAAAGTTAGAAAAAAAAAAAAAACCACCCTCATTAAATTACTTAAGTTCTCAAAAGAAAAGAGCTAGCGATCCATCAATATTTGGAGTTTTTTTAAACACTAAAAAAAAAAAAAAAAAAAAATTGCCATCAATTTAAGAAATCACATCTTAGAAAATCTATAGCACACTGGAATTAAGATTAAAGTGTCAGATTTTCAAGTCTAGAAAAGTAGTTAAGGATAAGAGCAATAAGTTGGCGCATATGCACGTGTGTACATCTGTGAGAAATTTAAGGTATGAAAAAATGCTTCTGGTGATCTGGCCTCAAACTGTGGGCACCAGATAAGAAACTTTTTTTTTTTTTTTTTAATTATTCTAGGAGAGAGTTCTAACCTCTCCCCATATTGGAAAAATAAAAATCTGAAGAGATTGGCACAACGATTTCCCCTCTGGTATAGTTACTTGGCTGTTAACAGTTATTATGACATCACATCATTTCTAACGAAAGGGAATCTGTGTTCATTGGTGACCTATGCACGGACCTTTTGATCATTAGCATTAAATGCTTCCACCATGCGTTACTTGTTCATGGCTGGGGCTACTGGCCTCTGTGATTCACTCAGTTTACCTCTGCTGTCACCACTTACTAGTAAGGGTATAGAGATGGCTCATAAAACCTCTCTGTTCTTTGTATCCAAACAACTGCTCGGATCATTGTAAATGTACAGCACCCCTCCTTTGTCCACCCACAGAAGTTCACACTTCATTTTCTTTAACATCCATAGTATTTCAAGATGTGAGACTTGGTTTTCTGGATTGGGTGAGCTAACTCTCTTATTTCTTAGTGAAATATCACTTGGAATTTTTCCCTTGAAAAATATTATTGAGCTGAAAAGTAACACCCCAAACTAAGGCCTTATTGCTGTTTTTAAAGTATGCAAGAGAGAGTTGGCATTTGTAGATGTGAATGTCTCTAAAAGTCGATAACATTAAAAAGAAGAAAAAAGGCAGGAACAGCATGGCCTAATCTATACTAATAAAGGCAGACCTGTTGGGGAGGGAAGAATCTGACGAAGCACAGATTGCCTGCAAGCTGACTCCACTTGTAAGGATGGTAAGCAAGCATACATCTCTCTCTCATCGGTCCTTCAGACCAGAGATGCACGAGGAATCCACAGCTGCTAGTGTGCCATGCCCCTGTGTTTGTCCGATAAGAGTCACAGACTCTGGAAAGTGAATCCTGACTGGATTAGAAGCAGAAAAGCTCACTAGCACTTTCTAGATCTTACTTTATTGTGTCCAGTTATTCTTATGTAAATGTAGGGCAAGGCTGACTTTAGTTTTCAATAAATGCTTTCTAAGAGAAGGAAATACAAATGCTATCTAATCACAGGATTGATTTCAAAGCACTATCATCGTTTCTGGTCAGTCAGTCCAGTGGGAATTAAATCCACTATAACCTCACTGCCATGTAAGGGCTCTCCCTAATACCTTTATTATTCTCACAGCTTGTTTTCTTGAAGTTGTTATGTCTTTAAGTGACTTGGATCCTTTAGAATCGTGATCTCTCCTGCTAGGCCCTAAGTAGTCTTGGAAGCTAATAAAAGACTCTTAGGCACCTTTAGCTGCTTCCTCAAAGTTTTGTAGTTGGTTTTCCTGATGAGAAGTGGCCAATTTCAAATGCATGTTTTGCTTTCATTCTAGTTATTTTTCTGTAAGAGACGTCTCTGTATCTCGAGGAATATGTGACTGGAAGAATGGGCCACCAGGGCAAGGTTTGAGCAGCCTAGGGGTACCCTGAGAGCTGTACACCACCTGACCCCCCAAAAGTTGGTGAAAACCCTGATGAATGATCATCTAACAACTCAGATGTCTGGATAGGTCACTTATCAGATCTTTTCTACCACTGACTTTTCCAATTCTAAACATTTTTCACCCAATTTCCTGTTCCTGTGGAAGGACTAACCCACATTCCTGTGTATTCGCCTGTGAACTAACTTCAAAATGAGAATTCTTCGTGGAAATACTTCCTGTTTGTACCTTGTGCCCAAAATAACTCCACATCCCTTGCCAATGCATAACACATTGCTTTGCACATAGGAGGGGCTATTTTGTCTGCATATGCTCTGTGGAACTTGACAGCTTTTACTATGACTTAAGTTTTCCGTTTTTTTCTCCCTATCCCTCTTACTTTCTTGTTGCTCTCCCATCTCTCCTATCTCCCTTACTCCTTCCTCTCTCTTTTCTTTACTCCCCTTATCCTTTCCTCCCTCACTCCTAAGGGGATAGTACCTCGCATACTGATTGAGTGCTTAGGTTCAAGATGATGGATATAGATTGAATTCTCAGATCTACCATTTACTAGAGAGGTTATCCTTGGGACATCATATGATGCCTCTAAACCACAGTCACTTTATCTTTATAAGGAAATAATAATATACCTTGCTGGGGTTGTTTTTAGGATCAGGGAAACATATGTAAAGTTTTAGGATCACGGAACTGTATTTAGCATGAGGCTAGATACTAGTAGTTTCCATTAATAAATGGTGCCCACTATGATTCATTCCTTTGTTTCTGAGCCCCTACCAGGAATAACTATTTTCCATGGATTGTTTATCATCCTTGTCCTCTTCCTAGAAATCTAAGAAATGTCTTTTGGGATTTTTAGTAACACAACTATAGGTATCAGTTTAAAGAAACAACACCCATCAACCCCAAATAAAAGGAGCAAAGTGTAAACAAAGTAGCAAGAAAAAGAAATGCATAAGTGTAAATGTAATAATTTGCTTAAAACAAATATTTTCGCAGGAATGCATCACACAGCTAATAAGTTCTCTGGTGTTAACGTTTTTAGAGAATGACACATGCTTGTTCTCTTATTTCTATCTCAGCCCCTCCTCTGGAGGTCCTAGCAACAGGAGTACAGCCTATCACCAACTCTCTTCAAAAGTATTTAGG